TGAGCAGGGAGCCCGATGCGGGACTCGATCCCGGGACTCCAGGATCATGACCTGAGCCGAAGGCAGTCGCTTAACCAACTGAGCCACCCAGGCGCCCTTCCTCCTTCCATTCTTAAGTGATCTTTGTTCTGTGGCTCTTTCCCTTGGTCTCGCCATGTCTCTCAGGGTCATATAGAAAGAAAAGGGTCAGAAGATGGGGCTCCTGAGCCTTGCAACTCTGTTGGGATGTGTTCTGAACGACTAGAAAGCATCAGAGCTCTGTGAAGCAGGTGGGAAGTGGGGGTCTGTCTGTCTATCCCCTTTAGTAACCTTGCAGGAGAAGGTCAGAAAGGAGAAGCTTTTGTTTTTGTATAAAACAAAAGCTTTCTAGGCTTTGCTGAGTGTGTTAAGAAATCCTATCAGGCAATTTCCCCAAGAGTGGGCAGTTGGAGATAGTGTGGAGAATATAATTACCCTCATGGTCAGAAGGTCTATATTCTAGTGCTAGCTTTGCCTCTGACTGGTTGTGTGACTTGACGTAAGTTACTTAGACCTCTTTATATTTTCTGATCCATTGTTTGCAAAATGAGCATTTAGAATAGGTGAGTTCTAAGGTCCTATACAGTTCTAAAAGATTCCGGTAGGACTGAGTAACTCCAGTGTTAAAGATAATTCTTTTGTGCATTTTTTTTTTTAATTTTATTTATTTATTTGAGAGAGACAGAGATAGTGACAGAGAGCACGAGCGGGGAGGAGAGGAAGAAGCAGGGTCCCCGCTGAGCAGGGAGCCACGATGTGGGACTCGATTCCAGGACCCTGAGATCATGACCTGAGCCAAAGGCAGACACCCAGCCGACTGAGCCACCCAGGTGCCCCACTTTTGTGCATTTTTTAAGATTATTTATTTGAGAGAGTGAGAGCACTGACAAGCATGAGTGGGGGTAGGGGCAGAGAGAGAGAGAGAAGCAGACTCCCCGCTGAGCAGGGAGCCCTGATGCCCTGACGACGGGCTGGATCCCAGGACACTGAGATCACGACCTGAGCCTAAGTCAGACGCTTAACCAACTGAGAGCCACTGAGGTGCTCCTCTTTTGTGCATTTTTAAAAAACTTTTGTTTTTTGACCTGTATGAAGGTGATATACTAATGTTTTTTTCTTGCAAAATGGATACTCTGCAGAAAATTCAAGGGGACTTATTTCAGTAAAATTAAATGCAATTGCTTTTTAATAAATTTCATGATAAACTTAATCTGCATTGAGCACATTTTAATTTTGTTTGGGACTTACACTATATTTCTACTAACCATTTCTTTTGGTAGCTATTCTTCCACCCACTGTAGTCTCTGAAGAAGACTCCTCAAGCTTTGGCCTATTAATCAAAAGTCTTGTTTATTACTTTCCATGTTGTATTTTGTGTATTGAAAAAATTAAATTTCTATAGATGAAGAACATCAGTGGTAGCCTTCTAGGTAATTAATGGGTACGTGATGGTAATATTTTTTCCAGAGTATTTCAGTGGGTGAGAGAAGTTACTTCTTTATTTTTTTGGTTTTCTTCATTTCTACTTCTTCCATTATTTAGAAACTTGTATTATAAGGTTTTCCTTTTCTTCATATATTTTTATGTTACAATAGGTCCTATGGCTCCTTTGAACAGTAAAATGAATTTATCAGAGATACTTATGTATATATACTAGTAGTATTTGGGTAAGTGAAAGTGTTAAAACCAAGTTAAACCACTAACTGCAAATTAATAATTATAGAAACAGTTTTTTAAATAAAACTTTACAGTATATTATTAACCATAATAAAATTGGCAAAATTTTGATCATAGATTTTGTGCAAAGACCAAGTGATTTGACCAAGAGTTGTTTGTTAAGTTAGGGCATGTCTCTTAGAGTTGCTATTTGTTAAGACCTCAGAACCTATCAAGTAAGCTGAATGAGGGCATTGATTTACAACTATTGATTTATTTTATGTGATAGGTATTATATTTCTAAGTTACTTATTATAAAAATAAGGAAGCCATTCTGAAAAATAACTACCAGATTTAATTATTAACAGATCATAATTTCAGTCAGTAACTCATCCAAAGTAAGCTAAGCCCACATAACATGCTTCTGCAATTTTTTCTTTTTAGATCAAAGAAAGCAAAGAATTCAATTGATAAATCAACGGAGACTGACAATGGCTATGTATCCCTTGAAGGGAAAAAGACTGTTAAAAGCAGTGAAGAGGGAATTCAAAGCCATGAACCTCAGTGTGAAACTGTTCGACCAGAAGAGGCAGCCTGGCACCCAGGAACACTGAGGAACATTCCCAGCAAAGTAAGTGTGATTTCCAAAATAGTTTGCTTGTGTGATTTTACAACAGAGAATGAAAAGTGACTTAGACATCGGAATCACCTTTGAACTCTGTATTTTCTCCAAAATTTATTCTGTGAACCATTATAAATCACACTGATAAAGTTGAAAATCAAATAAAGTTACATGAATAAACTTGATTGCTACTCTAACTTGGCACCTTCTGAATTGATTGATGGCTCCAATTTTTCCAAAATGTTAAGGCACTTCATAATTTATAGTTGATGTTTGTTAAACCCTGTCTTCTCTTTCCTCATTTCTATGTGTGTGTGTGTGTGTGTGAATTTGTTTAAATAGAACATCTAAATTATTTTAGAAACTGAACTAGGAATCTGGTTTTCCATTCCTGTTCCCCAAAAGAAAATATTACCTTGTTTTTTTCTACCTTCATTACCTTTGGTGTCAACACATTTGTTTTTAATTTGAAAAAAATTCTTATTGAGGATATTTGTTAAGAATAACAATTATTTGTTTACTTTTCCAAAATAATAATGAAATCTTGCATTTATTATAACAAAGCCTAATGTAATATCATCTCTGTCTTTGTTTTGCTGAATTTTTTTGGTTAAATAATTTTTTCTTTAAAAAACTTACAGTTAAAAAAAATGGCCAAATTAAAAGATGTTGCTTCGTTACATATAGAAATGGGAGCATGAACATTTGTGTTGATTCTTCAATTTTGAGTGAAGTATGTGTTAACTACTTGACGATACATGTGTTTTCAGTACCAGTAGCTATACAATCAATAGCATGGGGCTTCAGTGAAATAGAATCCCTTATTCTGATTTTGGAGTTTTGAAGCATTTAGCTCTCTGATAATGTGAGCCTCACATCATATCATCACTCAACACATAAGTTTTCAGTCATACAGCTTTCAAACCACATTTTCAGCTATTTATTACCTACTAAAGTTATATGAGAGGAACATGAAAATATCAATAAAACTTAAGCTCTGGGGTCTCTCAATTTCAGAATTTCCAAAATCTGGATGTCTCTTACAAATTGATACGTACATAATGTTGTCTGTCTGATATGTACACGCATACAACTACTATTTACTTCCTCCTGCTTCATGTCATTATTAAATCAGTAATGGTCTTAAAATTGATGGCATTTGGGGTTTGTAGAAATAGTATAATTAGTTCATCTCCGTTTTCTCAGCTTCTTTTAAATGGCCTCTGTTCTACCTTTATCCTATTTTATATTCTTAATTTTCTAAGCTACTTCAAATCCTTTCATGAACAGAAATGTTATAGGACAATATTTGACAAATTGCTGTTGAATTACTCTTAAAGTTGAAATGACAGTAGAGTCACTAATTTAAGACATTTTTAAAGAAGATCAGGTAATACTAATCAATCACTTTGAGGTTTTTGAAGATTATTTGAAGGTGTACGCACGTGTGTGTACATATAATTTAAAATTTTACAGTTTTAAAGCTACAAATTCAGTCATAAATTACCAGTAATTCTATTTGTGTACTCCCCCCGCCCAGGATACTCAAAGGACAATAGCAAATGTCTCTGATGAAGTCTCCAGTGAGGAAGGTCCTGAAATAGGATACCCATTACGCCGTCACGTGGACAGGACTTCTGAGAGCATTCTTCGGAACAGAAAGTCACACCATTATAAGAAACATTACCCTAATGAGGTATATACTTTGTCCTTACGTATATGTATACGTACCTATTTTATGTGTTACTAATTTACAACTTCTTTCAACAATTGAATATAATTATTGAAATAAATATTTCCGATCAGTATCAATTATCTTGTTATATTATCTGGATTTATAGGGTAGCAGTTTTAGATTTCTGTCCTGCACACATGATAGAGAGCTAAACATTTGTACTCATTTTGTGCATTATCTCTGAAGACTCATCCATTCAGTTTGTTGTTTACTTCTAAAGACAACCACCCTAGAGAGACACTTTGTGAACTCCTGTGTTAAGTCTTTTTCGCAGTTTGAAAGGCTTTATAGCTTCTGGATCATAGCAGTTATCATTCTAAGTGACTTTCTTCATGTTACTATCACTAGTTATTAAGTTGCCCATATTATAAAATTCAATTCTTTTTTCTTCTTTGATTCTTTCTTTATTAATATTTGTTTTTCCCTAAACCCTTTTCCAACTTTATCATATCTCTTGGAAGTCATCACATCCCTTGAAACTATTTAAATAGAAAAAGAATTTCAATTGTATTTTAAATTTTTATTGTAAGGACAGAACATTTCATTATCTCACTTCAAGGCAAATGGCACTTACGACACTTTTTTGATAAACATTGCCTTCTCCTCCTTCGAGAGTATATTAGAATTTTTTTCTTGATGATTTAGGGCTATACTTTTGAAAAATAAGATATTATGCTGTTCTGGAGTGTGAATACCTTGATTGTTTTAAGCTTAGAAGAGTTACTTGTTCTTCATACAATCTTCTCTGTGGTTGTATCTCTATTTAATCTTAGTGGTGACTCTGGCTGTGTTTCTTCTCTCAGTGGCTGCCGTTAGACACACACTAACGCCACTGTGTCTGCTCATTGCCTTCACCCAGATCATCTGATATACTGTCCCCTTATCCTTGTGAAATTCAGTCTTGTGAATTTCTCAGTCAGAAGTCAGTTCGGGGCGCCTGGGTGGCTCAGTCGGTTAAGCGACTGCCTTCGGCTCAGGTCATGATCCTGGGGTCTTGGGATCGAG